CTTCTGTTTGGTTCCTGACAGGTGAAAGCCAAGTTTACAGTGGATGACCACAGTCATTACGTTTTCACCCCGCGTATCCTGACAGAATGGGTCCTTAGCTTGTTACGATACGACCTCACTGCAGGTAACCGCATACATGAGCAAGGATTTTTTTTTTTTCGTACCTCTTTTTGCAACTTTTTCTCATTTGATAGAAGACCGATAGTAAAATCAAGTAAAACAAATTACGAATGATTTGTAGTAGATTATTTATTATTATTTTTTTAAAAGCTCAATCAGATGTGACCGACAGCGTGCTGGTGGTGGTCGCACACGAGGCAAAAAGGCTTTTCAGAGACCGGCTAGTTTCTTCCAAAGATCTCTCTACCTTTGATAACATCCTCTCCTCCGTCATCCGCGGGGACTGGAGCTCTGATGCTCTTGAAAACATGACTGGTAGGAAATCTCCTTCTGTCGTTCTCTTTTTTCATTCTTTACCTACACAAAACAAACACATCATGGATTAAAGAGAAGAAAAATGTGTCCATTCTGATGCTTATACGCCCTTATATGCTTATACACATACCGGTACATTCATGTTGTTTCCTCAAAATTATTCCACCTGTCAGTGGATGCGCACACATCTGACTACTGCCAGTTTTTTTCTCCCCATGTGCAGATGGCTTTTACGTAACGTGGGGAGTCTCTGAGGGGGTTGTAATGACTCCAGGCCAGTCTCTGCCTCCTCATGGTAAACAACTGGGACGTCTGCAGTCTTCTGACCTCAAGCAAGTCATTCAGAAGGTACACAACAATATGTTGAATTGTTTACTTTGATTTCAAAGTAAACGGCATAACTTTTACAACAGCTTTCTGCTTTGTGTGAATTGAAATCACCTTTGTAATCCTTGCCTCACATTTTTTTCATTTCAAAACATTTCACTTACTGTCGAAGCCGTCACATTTGATTGATTGATTGATTGGAGCTACCTTTTACTGAGCAGTGGTTTTCCCCATGTTTGTTTTCTCTAGGGACTAGTGCTGTACAGCCGTGATAACAGAGAGCTGGATCTCCTCCTTTTCTGGGAAGTGTGTGACTTTGTGTCCAGGCTCGATCGAGTGCTGAGCCGGCCCGGTGGCTCTGTCCTCCTGGCGGGTCGGAGTGGGGTCGGGCGGCACACAGCCACATTCCTGGTCTCACACATGCATGGATACTTCCTGTTTACACCAAAGATCTCTCGTGGTTATTCCCTGAAGCATTTTAAGAATGATCTCAAGACGGCAAGTGTTGGTTTCATTCAAGATTTGGTTATTGTAGTTATTGTAGCACATAGCGTAAAATGTGTGTACACTCTTTGTGCTTCACGCATTAATATGTGCTCAGGTGATGCAGTTGGCTGGACTAGAAGGGCAGCAGGTTGTCTTCCTGTTGGAGGACTATCAGTTTGTCCACTCTGCTTTCTTGGAGATGGTCAACAGCCTGCTCTCATCTGGTACATGTTTTCATTTTAGAAGGAGTGGTCTAACTTGGACACATTTGAGAATTTCAGTTTACAATGTGTGCCGAATGCGTTTTAAGGTGAGGTTCCTGGACTGTACACCCCAGAAGAGCTGGAGCCTCTTCTCTCTTCTCTCAAAGATTCAGCTTCCCAGGATGGATTTACTGGACCCCTATACAACTACTTCTCCTTCAGTTAGTATGCCTCATTTCTCTGCCATTCGGCATTCTTTTGAACTCCCTGTGTGGTATATCTGGTCATCTTTTCTCTCTACTTGTTCAGACTATCTTGCGGTTTTGCTCCATCATTGTTCTGTATCTGTCTCCATCTCTCCTTCTCTCTTATCGAGCAATGTACCGTTGAAGTGTTGCAGGGTCACTAAGGTTGAAGCTGTAGCCAGAGAATTTATTTAATAGCTTACTGTTAAAGTCAAACCACTAAAAAGCCTCCTGATAGCTCATTATTCAAGTCTGCCAGACAATTATATTCAGAGGGACAATATTATGAGCATCAAGAAACACACACGCTACCATGTGTCACTTGTGATCTCAATTTTGTGAGGAAGGGCTTTTATGGTAATACTAAACCCTCCTTTCTGTGTTAAATCACCCTCAGGAATCCAGCAGAATCTCCACATCGTTCTAATCATGGACTGTTCAAACCCCAACTTCACCATCAGCTGTGAGAGCAATCCAGCTTTTTACCGCAAGTGTTCTGTCCAGTGGATGGAAGGTTGGTCTGAAAGCAGCATGAAGAAGGTCAGATGATTTTTTTTTTTTTTTATGAATGTTTCTCAACATGTTGAATTTAACATTGAGCGTATGTTTTTTGAGAAGCAATTATTATTATGCGGAGTGTGCACGGTTTTGCATAAAATTGTTTTTTGTCAGATACCTGAGCTGTTACTTGCAAAGGC